TCCATAGCTTGGTTAGTATGTTCGACTGCACAAATTGGAAATGATTAAGTAAAATTTATGTTCATTCCTGTGTCCAATCCTATGTACAAAACATGCTCTAACAATTCAAGTTGAAAGGCAAATAAAGAGAGATTGTTTACAAATTCACAAGTACTGACTAAGTAATTTGTTGAATCCCCTTTCCGTTCGAGGGAATTTAAGCTTTATAGCTTTTTCTATCTCTTAGTATTGTTCGCTATGGTACTGTTGACCTCTGAAAATGGCCAACATGTGTTGTTAGGAGATCGCGTACACACGGGCGTGCATGACAATCATGAATGCATATATTTGCAATAGAAGAAGAAGGTAAATAGTAGACAACTTTATATAGATTATCCTTTCTCTCCTTTTTCTTTGTTCAAATATTCATCCCCTTAAATGATACAAGAATTGTATATTTATAGTGATTAGGTCGATGCGGTCACTATTGGATCCGATCCAATTGGCTTGATTTGCCGACCCTTGGTGTCACATCAACTCTACTTCATATTAATTACATCGACAGACTTTTGATAAGAGGTCAGCCACCTTACAAATCTCGGCTGACTTTTCTGATACTTAATAAATGGGCACGTCGCATCAATCAACTCCGAAGATGCACGTGCTTAACGTGTCAATGACCTAAGATACCATAGGGAGTTCGGCAAAAAGAGACGAGCAAGGGTAGGACCACCTCGGCTGTTCTTAGTGTAACGACCTCGGCATTCAATCATGACTACTTTAGATGTTGTGGTTCTTGGATGATTAGATGGTTGCCACGTGTAAATACAGGGCATCCACTTGGCCATTCTATATGACTAGTAACAGGTACAATTCACATTACCAAATAATTTACATATTTCATTCTCTCTTTATAATAGTTCTCTCTTTTAGCTCCCGTTTGATCCCCATTAATTTCAATTACATTACATTCTATTTTTCTCTCTCGTATTTTCAACTACACAATCTTCTATAAAATAATATTACACGTAAGTCGAAATTTTTTCCTTCTTTTTCAACCACTCATTTTTCTAAAAAATACTATTCCCCCCATTTTCATTTTCAGGTAATGGGGTCAAACGGGGGCTTAATATGGACCTCATCTACAATCAAAAAGCACATACATTAGAAACAGCTTGACCAGGTCCAAATCAGTTTCCCTCCATTGATGACCTCCATACGTCCAAAATAAATTGCCAGTACTATATCAGCATATTTTCCCTTCCCTGGCCGTTCTACTCGAGGCATCTGTTATGTTCATTACAATATTATTCGTGACCATACCAAGCAAATTATAAATAACCTAATAAAACAGCTACACACGAACATGTTTCCTACGAAGTACTAGCCACAGACGGACAAGATTATAAGCTTTGTTGTTCTTTAATATTGTCCGTTCACCCTATCAGCAATGGACCTAGCCAGCCAGTAATTTAAGACCATAGATGTCCATGTGCTAACAACCTTAATAAAGATAACTAGTAATAGCCATCAACACAATTTACACTTTCACACACAGGCATACAAAAGGACAGACATAAATAGAGTTTATTTAGTAAGAAACGATAAATCTCTTCATTTTACATGGCTGCTAACTATGATTTATATTCATACATAAAACATATGAATTGAGGAGAAAGTGAAAACCTTTGAAGAAAGTGAATAAGCCAATGGAGTTCCCATAATTCTGTCCCTATGTGTTGGAGTCATGTCGATCACTGTTGGCATGTATTCATCCCTTAACTTGTAATCAAGCAATTATTGCAAGAATTTTCATCAATGAGCCTACCATATATTAATTTGATGTGAAAACTGGCCCATAGGCACATTGAATTATATTTGTCCAATACAAAAAAGACAAGGATAAAATTAAACTCGGTTCCATTTTTTCACTTCTGGATACGGAATTTGTGGACTTCAACAGAAAAAATACATCGCTGAAACCCTTTTTCTTATTCGGAAGGGAAAAGGTGAACAAAGTATCAAGTTTTGTATTAGTATTTTGTTAGTTGTTTACTTTTCAAATTGGATACTTGTTTTAGGAAACATAGTTAGAGTTTGATAATTATAAATTATTTAAATAAGAGTTGCATTATAATAGTTACACTCTTCCTCTCTCTTTTCTCAACTTGTTCTTGGTCATTTGTGCTCTAAGTCAATTTGATATCAGAACAATTTACCAAATAGGTCTTCAAAGTCATTAGTTTATTTCAGCAGCCACCACATCCCTAAGCCAATTCCACTTTCAATCACTGGTGCCCACCTTAAACTCAATCATCCCATAAAGTAAATCAATCAAAAAAAAAAAAAGAAGCCGACAAGAGAAAGATTGTTTCTTTATTTTTCATATTGTCGTTCGTATTTAAATTTTTTATCTTTTTTTTAATTATTATTCAAGTGAAACTGTTCCATCGCTTCGCTAGATGTTTTCTTTGTATTGGAGTTTATTCCCAAAAAATAGGAAAGAGAAAAGGAGAGACAAAATAAATAAATAAATAAATAACGAAAAGTTCTCAGTTCATATCTACAGGTTTTGTGGCAGCATATGAATTTTCCAATATCCAACTAAGTTGAACCTTCTCTATAACTTGGTGGCATCAATTTTTCGACCTCTTCCATTACTAGTAAAAAAATTATCTACTTCTAGCATGGGTGAATTACGCACGCTTAGCAATGATTCACATATTGAGTTGCTATCGCTTGATTCTTCGCCACGTATTAATTTTGATCTATTGGAACCTTAGTTTGACTCTCATTTTAAAGAATATAATAATAAAAAGAAAAAAAAACGATAATTATGTTACTTTTTAAGTGCTAGTTGTTTTGTTTCTCTTTAAAAAATAAAATAAAGGAAAACTACAAAAATAAAGAAGTTACAAAAAAAAAGGTAAAAAAAAAAACAAACAAACAAACGGTTTAGTTGTTTTTCCGATTTTAGATTTTTTAAGCCAAAATACTTATTACCAAAAAAAAAAAAAAAAAAAAAAAAAAAAAAAAAAAAAAAAGGGGGGGGGGGGGGGGGGGGGGGTGGAGAAGAAGCAACGTATCTCATTATCCTAAGTTTAGTCCCCAAAATATTATGGCTTGCTTATAAAAAAATTGTAAAGCCAATCTAAGTTGCTAGTCTGGTGTGCTCCCTATTATGTGAAGTCAATTGATATTTTGAGTGATGTTATGTGTACAGAAAAAATTTGATAAATTTTCTTCAGATTAACACTTGGTAGTTAAATATTGGCAGACGATAAAAACAAAGAAAAAAAAGCAGCCAGCACTTGTACGGCTTTTGTGAAGAGGCCTGGACAAAAAATTCAAAAAATCGATTAAACCAATCTCGAATTGATTCGACACAAGTAATTGGTTTGGTTTGATTTTTTTTAACAAAATCATGATGGGTTGATTCAGTCACGGCTTGAAGTCTCAAACCGTTGGTTAGTCGAACTGAACTCATTGGACCAAAGTTTGGGTCGATTTCGACTCCAACCCCGAAACCAAAACCAAAGTAGTCAGTTTGGACAAATTTCAACCTAAACGAATCTACTCTAACTCTTAAACCGAATCGTACTACTTCGATTTTGTTTGGTTCGATTTGATTTAAGAGTTACAGTGAGTGGGTTTGAGTTGAAAATTTTCCAAATTGACTAATATGAATTTGATTTTGGATTAGGATCGAAATAGACTCAAATCAAACCGCGTCCAGTCCTATCCGTGTATAATTCCCTGTATAGGGGGAATTACTTGATATTTTTATGGTTAAATTGTATTATATGTTACTTTTTGGAGTTTGTCGTTGATATTTGGTTAATAAGAATCGACTAACCAAACTGATCAATCCAAAGTTTGGGTCGATTTCGATTCCAACCCCGAAACCAAAATCAAATTAGTCAGTTTGGACAAATTAAATTTCAACCTAAACCAATCTACTCTAACTCTTAAACTGAATCGTACTACTTCGATTTTGTTTGATTTAAGAGTTAGAGTGAGTGGGTTTGGACTGAAATTCGTTCAAATTGACTAATTTGGTTTTGATTTTGGATTAGGGTCGAAATAGACAAGCTGCGTCCAGGCCTATCCGTGAGTAATTCCCCTAATATGGTTGAATTGTATTATATGTTATTTTTTGAAGTTTGTTGCTGATATTTGGTTAATAAGAAAAATTGTTCCGCTTTGTATTAGTTAAATCATATATTGATTTTTATAAGTTTCTTATAAATATTTCGTCACAACAAAAGATCGATCTTCTTGAAGAAAAAAGGTGCAGCATATTTTGTCGGAGTCGAGTTTTCAAAGTTGGGGAGAAAATATGGAATTCCTAATAGGGATATTAGTTTAATTTATTTTTTAAATTAGATTTGGAAATGTAATTATGATTTTATTTAATAGATACTCTAGTATTTTATAAGTTGTTTACTTTTCAAATTGGATACTTGTTTTAGGATACATAATTATAGTTTTATTTAATACATTTTCATGCATTTAAATTAGACAAGTTTGATTTCTATATAAAATGGACTTTTGCATTGCAATATTTACACTTTGATATTGAATAAATTGATATTTTTTTCCTCTAAATTCTCTCTCGTTTTCCTTGTTCTCCTCTTTGTACTCTCTCTTCCTCTTTCTTTTCTCAATCTTGTTTTGTCACGTCACTAAGTTATCAAGTATGCAATTTCTAATGAAATGTTTTTTTCAATACCCTCTGAAATTCAGAAATTGAAAGCATATGCTGATTAAGATCTGTAGTCTGCCAGACTATAAGTGCATCAAGAAATTAAAGTGTCATGGATTTTCATTGCATATTGGAGCACTAAATTATTATAAGTTCCATTGTGCATAATATTATAATGATAATAGATTTGAATAATACAAAGACAACCATATCAAGAAGAAGATTTTGTTTGTTCCATCAAACTTATTTTGTTTGCTAATCTTTTTAGCAATTCCTACTTTCACTTATTTTCTCCACCATAAATTGACAAACCACAAATTTATATTATCTTTTCATGTATCTTTAAATCTTGGAATACATTACTTGTACATAATATGGTGTCCACCCCCTCACATGGAGAGGGACCCACTTTGAATAAATTACTCCTATATTTTATTGGAAGTTGATCCCTCTCCATGTGAGGGGGATGGACACCGTCATGGACTCTGATGTAGCACCATCCTTAAATCTTTGGAGCCAAAAGCACAAATCTGTAATGCATCAGGGAAATAAATGCCTATCTTTATGACTTGAAATCAACTCTTCAGTTGAAAATCAATAACTTGACCCACCAATCAATAACAAATTAAAATCTTAACTTTGTTCTCACTAAATTTGATGGTCGACTACACAAATCAGTTTTCATTCCGTTCATTCATTGATGCCTCTGAGGGAGTACAGACAGTTACATCACAAAAAGAAGATAGAAAGGCATTAATTCTATAGCAGGAAAGAAGAAAGTTACTGCTGATTATAAGAAGAATCTCGATGCAAGAAAAATTAAACTTCCTTCAAATTGTATTAAAGAATAAGGATGAAATCTTAGGCACATTCCAGGATTTTCGAGTGACAGAGATGACAATTTACTTCTCACATATAAAGAATCTTAAAGCAAATAAAGGTAATCTTCAGTGAATTAAAGAATCATTCAGCGAAAAGTATAACACTAAACAATTTTACAATAACTTAAGATGGAGAAGTTATTCCAAAAATCAGAACACGTTGAAAATCCTGACAAATCATATAAAGAACATTCGGCTCAACTGGCAGAAGCTGAATCTAGCTAACTTTGTATGTGCAATTTTTAAAGTTTATCCTGTTACAAATAACTCAGATTCATGAAGATTACTAGGTGTATTAATATATAATTCGCGTTATTTTTGATTAATTATTCATTATGATGACAATTTGGTTGAGAATAGACCTTATATTTTCCCTATTGGATCGATACACTTAGCCGGTGGTGCTGGTCCACGTTCGGAAATGTTCTGTAATTGAAAAACGCAGATCGTAAGAACGATAGCTCCACTCGAGATACAATCAACATTAAAAATCTAAGCACGGCTGAACAAGAATGCACTGTAATTCTATGTTTCTTCTTTACATTGAAGTCCATATCATAGTGAATGGGAAGCCCTAGTTTACTTCTGCAAAATTATGACTTTTTTTCTTTGCGAAGGTGAAATTTGCAGGATTTGGACCACCCTTCAATAGACTGGATGACAACTTTTCTGCGTCCTCTTCTTAAGGCATACTTTAAAAAATTTACATAAATGGCTGTTTAAATTACAGTTTGTGTGGAAGGAGATGTGTTGCATATGAGGAAGATAATGCAATTAAACCTGTGGTCCACATAACATTCTGTAACTCGAAATTATTCAGAAACATTGTATATGGAAACCCTTTTTTCCTAATTAAAACATGACTAATAAAGAAATATACAGAAAACTTACTTTTAGTCTTTTGCTTATACTGAAAATAGAAAATGGAAATATGCATAGAAAAGGTTGCTAAAGACATCTTAAGTTAAAACGAGGGGAATACTAGTGACTGCTGGAAAATACGATAATTGGGAGATTTCGAGTAATTGTTGAAAACTTATTACTTCCCGCAAATAATGGCTATTATAGGAAACCTTTCTTGAATTATACATTTATTTATTTCCTCATTGAATGCAGAGATCTGGATGCAAAATAGCATGATATCAAAGAATTGTTATCTCTGTGATTTTTTAAAACAGATTCATTTAAATCTACAAAATAATATAGACAAAAGTGCATCTACAAACAGCCAAAACACAATAGTCAATGTCTCTTGGGTTTCACCATATGAAACACAGTAATTTCGAGAAGGTTGTCAGTAGATCTGTAAACAGTTACACAATCATGCAAGTAGAAAGGTAACATCCCATTCAATTTAACATAGAAATGAATATCCAATAGAAGAAAACTAATCATGTATGTAAAAAGATAAAATCAGCATGAAATTAACATAGAAATGAAATTATAATGAAGATCCACTGGGCAGAAAACAATATTGTCTAAAAATACCATGCTATAGTGAATCTGATCCTGAAAATGAATTCCCATATGACTCTCTCCATATCTTCCCACAGCTTAATTGAACTGCAAATGGGTTTTGTCCATACAATTATATGCAGTTCAAGAAAGCTGTGGAAAAGTATGACAAGGGCCAGCCTCTGCATATTCTGCAACCCTAAATAGGGTTTCTTTAAAAGAGAAGAGAGAAGATGAACTGTCTCTCTCTCTCTCTATATCTATCTATCTATATTTGTAGGTGGGTGGGGGTATGGCAAGGGGGTGTAGTTTTAGGTTTAGGTTTAGGGGAGAGGAAACGGTAGTATTTATAGGGGAATGGAAGTCTTTTCCACCAATCCCGAGAAGAATTTTGGGCTATTAAAAAGCTGAGAACATTTAATCCCATTAATATCATATGAATTTATCATGATTATATGAACGGTCAGGATGAGACCTATGAAATCTAACAGTTGAGAAGGAGTGACACAGATCTGTCCGTTTGAGGAGGGTACGTGCTTAAGCTTGTGGCTCGTGCTGTGCATGGTGAAGATTGTCAGTCGATTTCTATTAACTAGGTTTAGTTCCAATCAATTGGAAGAATATACATACATGTACATATAAACTATCATACATTTTCTCAATTATCGATTCTGCTAAAGTCTATGCGATTCCTATCCCACTTCTCAAACCCTCAAGAACCCCCCCAACTAGGGCTGAACATGGTCCGGTTCGGTTCGATTCTAACGAGAATCGAACCGATCCAAAATTTTCAAGTATTTAGTAAGTGGAACCGTCGGGTCCAAATTTAAGTACGAAAGGTTCGGTTCCATTCGGTTCCTTATTATAATTAAATTTTTTAATATACACAAAGTTACGTTAATTTAATTAATGATATATTTAATATTAGATCTTACAAAATAACGTAGTTCAATTTTATGTGTTTCACGTCTCTCTTTGCTGAGTTCTTCATAAATTTGATTATTAAAATCACAGAAAGAGAAAGATAACAAGCTCAAAATAATTAAGAGAGATGTTGTAGAGCTTTAATTCAATTTTCTCCGGTAGAAATGACACTACAGTAGAATAACAGATTTGGATAAAATTAAGGTCAATTTGATTAAGTCAATTTTGAACTGAATATTAGAAATTGAAAAATCATATTTTGTGGTTTGAACTAAATTAACTAGTTAACAAATTTATTAAGAAAAAATAAAATAATTTTACTTATTTAAAATAAATTAATTAAAAAATTACGGAGATTCGGTTCTTATTCGGTTCTTCGGGTCTTGGCCTAGAACCGAGAACCGAACCATACCCGTCGGTTCTTGATTCAAATACCCGTTCGGGTATTTAACTTGAGAAGAACCGTCGGGTTCGGTTCTGTTCGGTTCGGGTTCGGTTCGGGAGTTTTGTCCAGCCCTATTTGTCCAGCCCTACTACAATATCTCTTTTGACTCTTCTGGACGATCCAAGTTCGTTCACTGGTTTTTTAGTGGATCAACTAGTTGAAACCAACGTCAACTTTTTACCAATTTATGTACATATACATGTATATATAGGTGTGTATGTATGTGAAATAATAATTAGTCATCTTTACAAAACTTTTCTAAAAAATTTCATTAATTAAGGAGAGATTTCGAAATTCTCAAGATGATCATTATCTTAAACAATTTAATATGAAAACGAACTCTATCTATTTTAGATTGTTGAGACAACAGTTTAAGCTGCATTAGTTGACATGTCATATTAAGCCTTCATTTAATTTAGTTAAAAAATTGATTTAAAATATAAGTCAAGGTCAAGAATGAATCTTAATCATAAATTTCATAGGCCTTGCAACTTTTTATCTATATATTCCATTAACTTTTATCAAAATTTACTAAAATCTGATTTTTATCTAAATCTGATAGGACTGATTTAGATCGATAACATTGTTCTATTACTATTTACATGCATTAATTCCACGATAAATTCTATAATTGGGTTTAGTATGTGGCAAGACTTCTCCATGATTTTATTTCACTAGTTTATTTATTATTATTATTTTTTTTTGTCATAATGACTCTCGTTTTCTAATACTAAAAACTAGTTATATGGATCCTAACTTCTTAGAACAAGTCGAGTACTCTATATCATAAAGAAAACCTAAAAGCATATTCATAATATTGTTCAATTCTTGGTCCAACTAATCAAATACTAAATGAAAACAAAGCAAATTTTTTAAGGACTAAAATGAAAGAAAAATATTTGATTCACATGGGGTGGCATGTGAGGGTGACCCACATTGTAAAAATGAAGTGCACCCCGTATTTCCCGGACTAAGGTTTCTCTGTGTCGGGGTACGTTTTATGGAGGACACCACTTTCCTATATTCCGAAAACCCTTCTCTTTTTCTAATTTTTTTTTATTATATGCACAACTTTCTCTTTAATATTTTTATTTTCGTGGAACACTCGAATCGATATAATATTTAACAAGTGCTGGATCTTAAAATCGAGAATGATATAGTTTTTAATCCCATTTTATGTTCTAGCTAAAAGAATAAAATGTTTAATTATATTGTCATATAACTATTTTAAAAGAATAAAAAAATTGTCAAATAAAAATTATTCACCTAATAAACTAAAATTTAAACCGAACCGAACAGCCAATTTTTGACTTGATTCGATTAGTTCGGGTTGTTTTTCCCACCTAATCAAAACAACTATCAATGTAATTTATTTGAATCTACATAAATTACTATGTATGCAAAAAATAAAAATAAAAATAACTTTTTTTTACAGCTTGGAAAAAGAAAATATGAAAAAAATATCTCTTTAAATAGTTAAATAATTATTCAATTATCTGTTTACAATAATTTACACAAAACATATTTAAATAACAACTATTCTTTTCTTGTTTCACTTTAAGAGGGCAATTTATTATTTTTATTATTTTACCATGTACTTGACAGATGGGAAAGATACAAACATTCATGGAATGGATGCAGGATATTGTTTTAGTTAGCTGGCAAACAATAATTTAAGACATCTTTAATTTAGGCTTTAACCTTTTTTGATGTTTGATTAGAAATCACAATTATTAAACTTTGTATATTATAATTATTACTTTGAATAGTAAAATATTTTCTAAAACTATTTTCGATGGCAATTAGGTTTAGCAGATGAAAAAAGTGCATCATATTATCTTTTATAATAGGCATGCCTACTTTTAGTTAGTAATTTCACCCTTGTTTTTTCCTTACCTTGTACTATATTAGTAAAGGGCGATTGACGGGTGTCAATGCAAAAAACTCAAGTGAGGAGATCTGGTTACCTTATATTCTATGTAACATGATAAAATGATCCTCTCCGAATTTGATGTTACAATTTTTGTGTTGGTTCCTTTCTTTTGTTGAATCCAATTCTTGACTTATACGATGCAACTAATGGTAGAGGTGTTAAAGTTGATGCACCTTTGATGAAGAGTGAAGAATAGACCGATATGCCTCGCAAGTCTAGATTAGTTAGATAAAAAAATGGTGGCACTTAAAGACCATTAGAATTAGACCGGCTCGATTTCTTAAGTTTTTGCGTTTTAAATTTCAGTGTATTTTTTAAAATAGAAAAATGAGAAATTGAAAAAAGTCCCCATAGGCCACTTAAGAATTCAGCAATCCACAAAAAAATTTTGCTAGTTATATAATCGAGGTTAACAATCTCCTCACAGGAGGGGGGCCTACGACTTTTAATTCATCGTGGACCTCCTTCCATGTGTGTGATTGTCAATCCCGATTATACACGTAGTATCGTTCTCCATAATAAGCCCATTCCAATTTTTTCATGAACAGGCCCATGGGCAGATCTAGGTTCCACGTTCAGCTAGGGCGGTTGACTTTGATTTTGACTATTGATCGTTGACCGTCGATAATCAACGATCATATTAAAATTTGATTAAAAAATCACAATTCTTAGTAATAATTCATAAATCCTAATTTCCTTCGCTACGACTATATGAATTAAACATTGATTCACTCTCACTAATTACTAATAACATGTACAACACTCAAGCCATTCAGCACTTCGAGTCTCCAAATCTCCAACAGAGTCACTCAACTCAAGTCATCCAAGATTCCAAGTGCTCAACAAACTCTCAACACCGTCAGTTCAGACATCATTGCATCAACATACAACAAATTGAACAAAGGGTCAGCAAATTGCAGTTGTACCAGCACAATTGCACAAATTAACAAATACAATACGTCGAGTCTTCAACACAGCAACACTCAATTTCTCAACAGCCAACACACAATAAAAACAGTCAACACTCAACAGACAACAGAGACAGAGTTGAGACAATTAGAATTCAAACACCAAAACAATTCAATTAACCAAATATTCAACTCTTCAACTTTAAATATTGAACTTAATAAACTTTAACTCACCGATTAGGCAATCACCAATGTTGCAACCTACAATGCACACTGCTGGCTGCTTACTTGCTCGTGCTCGGCCTCGCCAGTCGCCACTTGCGGACTCGCCTTGAATTTCGGAGTCTATCACTGGTCTGGTTGGAGAAGATGGAGATTCGCCGCTAAGTCTCTAAGACTTCGCACACAGGCACAGCCGCACAGCACATTGGCGGCACACGCACGTTTACCAAATCACCGACTCCATCTGGTGCTACTGCTTTGAATAGAAATTGAAGGGTAACTGGGTAGTGGGTAACCGGTTTCTATATAATGGAACTATGGAAATGGAAGGGACCAACCGACCAACGGTTTGCGATTTTGGGACTAATTTCAGGTTTAGGAGTTGGGAGAAATGTCAATTAAAACCAATATATCCAAAGATCCGTGGACCGTCCGTTTTAATGGTTTCAATTTCCATATTTGGGCCAATTTTTTTTTTAAATAGGCCCAATTTCAGTTAGATTAGCCCAAAGAAAAAATTAATGAAGTGGTCGTCTTCTCCAGTTGAAACTGAGTTCCTCCTCCTCCTCCTGGCTGACTGGCTCCGTCTGCAATTGCCAACCCAGCGGCCACTGAACTGACTGAAGACTCCGGCGGAGCCAGCACGCGCGGCCGCGCCCCCTCGCCGGGTGCTGGCTCAGCGCCTGAACAGGCCAGTGCAATTTGACAACTTTGACTGATTGGGAATATTCCTTAACCTTTTGATGATGGAGTCCCAAACCTTTCATTTTTGATACATCGGGTCCTTAATCTATAAAAACTGTACGAGCATGATCCTTATATGACGAAAACCGTTAATCTGATCATTAATGGAGTCCAAATTCTGACA